AACCCAGGCCTCCTCATCCTTCAGTTCCCAGCTGAGATGTCACATCCTTGCAGAATCCCCCCCCCCCAGGTCCCCCAGGCCCTCCTCCTTGTTGCTCTGTCGCTCAGAACTACCATTCACCAGCATCTCAGTTTGTGTTTTCACTCTTACTGAATCTCTGTCTCTCCCATAGCCCAAATGCCCCATGCAAATCAGGAGTACAGTCTCCCGTTCACAGCCGTTCACAGCCGTACCCCCATACCCAGCCCGGACAGACATGAAAGTGGACACTTGATAACTATTTGTGGAACAAATGAGTCTTTTATCTCGTCCCCTCAGAAGCTCATTCCCAGGCTGGCTTTCATCTCTGGCCTTTGCATGAGTGGCTTCCTCTGCCTGGAAGATTCTTTCCTTCCCTCCCACCTGGGCTCATCTACACATCATTGAAGCCTAGTCTCTTTGGGGTTGTCCTTGGCCCCCTCATTTGACTTAGGGTTTCCCTCTGGGCCTCCCAGGACCCTCCTCACAGCACGCTATCATAACCCTTTAAAATGGTAAATTGTGAGTTAAACAGGAGACATTTGCAACAGTTAATGGTGTTCTCCTGCTTCTCCCTGGACCTCCCACTCCAGCTGGCTCCAGGGCATCCACTCTCTGTCTTTCAAGCCATCAGGAGCCCCATTTCCCATTCAGTCACTAAGCGCTGATCTGATCGGTGCCCACTGAGTTGTTTTCTTTCCCGCAGCACCAGGGAGGCAGGGAGGAGGGAAGCAGTGTAGACAGTACCCTTCTGAGGCTGAGAGGAAGCAGATGAAAGCCTCGGAGATGCTAAGTCAATGGCCAGCCATACCCTCTCCAGGGAGCATGTGGGTGGCAAGAAGGCTGAGGGCAGAGGGGCGGGACTGCTGTGTCCAGGTCTTGCCCCTCTGTTGAGCACCTACTGTGTGCGGAGCACAGTGGCAGAGAGGGTGGGGGGCTATAGAGAGGTGAGCTTGGATGGCAGACACACCCTGGATGCCACCTCCAGCACAGCTGGTACGTGCTTAGTGCCGAGGTTACCGTGTCTGTCATCTGTCTCCCACCCTGGGAGCAGCTGCAGGGACCAAGGTTGGGGACAGTTGCTGGGGAATTTCAGCCAAACCCCATGGTCACTTTTCTGTCTCTCCCTTGCCGCATCTCTCTGCCCCTTTGTGCTTTGGGTCAGTCCCTCCTTCCTGACACTCCCCCCAGCAGGATTGTCAAAGTGAGGCCCAGGCCCCCTCCCACAGCATCACCTGGGTGGGGGCAGGGGCTTAGAAAAATACCTTGTCCTGGGCTCCCGTCTGCTGCCTCTGGCTCCCTGGTGTCTGGACCTTGAATCTACACACGTAGGAACACGCCGTGCCTGGTCTGCCTGGCAGGCTTGAGTGCGAGAGCATGTTCCTGCTGCTTCCAGGGTCGGCCCTACCTGTCCTCCCTGGCCCTGGCTGCCTCTTCTCCCCAGGACCCTTCAGGAGTTCTCCTCTCATGCCTACCCCTTCAGTGCCAGGGGGCCCCGGGTTCCTCCATCTGGGCTCACTGTGTCTCCGGCACCCTCCACACCCCAGCACCCCAGTTGGATTTTCTCCTGTCCTCGGACAGCCAACAGCACCCAGCCTCGACATGGCCAAAGCTGTCCACACTACCCTCTCCCCAGACCACACCCATCCTCCTGCCCCCACCTGTGGTCCCCATGTCATCGAGTGTCCAGTCTGCTGCCCAAGCAGAAAACAGGCTCATCTTTGACTCCATGTCCCCCTGTGCCTCACCTCGGCAACTGCCAAGTCCTGACCAGTCTGCCGCCTAAATGTGCCTCAGTCTCCCCACCTCTCACCCCAGACCACTGCATCGATCTGACCGGTTCCTCCCCTTCTCCCTCCTCTCACCTCTCCTCTCGCAGTGAATTCTCCATACTTTTCTAAAATGCAAAATGGACTATAATCACCAGCCCCTTAGAGCCCCTCAAACAAGGGTCCCCACCCCTCAGCAGGACAGCTGATGCCCCTCCGCGGGTCCTGCCTCCTCTCTTCCCCTCTGAGCAGGGTAACAGCAAACTGCGTCTAGATCTCCCCAGACCTCGGATCACTCCGTGCCCCCTGCCAGGCATAGCACTGCCTGGCTGACCCTCCTCAGGACCTCAATATCACCTCCTCTAGGAAGCCACCCCGATCCTCCACACCCGTCCCCTCATCCTGGGTGCATCCAGAAAGCCTCGTACGGGCTCTGCTATTCCACTCACCACAGCGAGTTATAATTATCGATTTCCATGTCTCTATGGCACACTGGCCGATTAGATCCTTGAGGGCAGGGAAGCTGCCCCATTCATCTCTGTATCCCAGCCCCTGGCCTGGTGCCTGGCACGGAGGACAGGCTCGGCCAGTAGTTGATGGATGAATGCGGAAGAGAAACTTGAAGGAAGTGAGGGCCAGGAGTGGCCAAGAGGGGAGTGAGGGCGAGCCTGGCGGGAGGCACAGCCGGAGCAGATGTGTGGGAAGTGGAGAAGCGAGAACTCCCGTGTACTGCCCTCCTACGACTGCCCGCCGGCCATTGTGCCTGCGCTTCGTTTGCACATTTTGTCTCGTTTTGATCCTGCACATCAGGAAACCGGCATCAGAGAACCGAAGTAACCTGCCCAAGGTCACACAGCCAGGTCCGGAGTGAAATCTAGGACTATCTGGCCTGAAAACCTGTGCTCTTTCGGCTGGGTCACTCTGCTCTCCTGGGGACAAGACCTTCTGGAGAGGGACAAGGAGTGGGCCCCAGCTACGCCTCTGCCTAGCTGAGCGCCGGAACCAGCTGCCCACGCTCAGGCCGACAGCATTCTTCCTCTCAGCCGGACTAGAGGCTCCGAGGCCAGACAAGGACTTACCTGTTCCTTCCTGCCCTGGTTGTGGGGGCCTGTCACTACCTGTGCATGCCCCCACCCGCACCAGGGAAGGGCTGCTGCATGCTGGTTTGGCCCAGGGGGCGTGGGAATGCAGGGGGCTCTGTGATGCTGTCTGGGTTCTGCAGAGTCTGCCTCCCTCATCGCACTTGGCCCAGGCTGATATTAAGATTCATCTGCATTCCCCGCGCACCCGCCTGGCAGATGGTGGGGGAGGAGGCTGGGTGTGCGCTGGGGGCTGCAGCCAGGGACCAAGCCGGCCTCCGAGGGCCACAGAGCTGAGCGGCCACCCACCCTGCCTATGGCCCAGCCCTGCTGGGGCTACCAAATGCTGGGTTGCCTCCTCACCCTCACAACCTCCAACGGGTGCTAGCATTTGACCTTTTATTTCTCTAGACCAAAAGCCCTGGAATGCCAGGAAGGAGACCTGGAGATACGGGGTGATGGAGGATGGGCCTCACTTTGGGAATCTGAGGCTGGGGACTTCTTCTTTCTTGTCCTAGAGGTTTTCAGAGACCAGTACTAATCAGGGGCCCCTACCTCACCCCCATCCCCACCCAGGAGTCCCTCTCAGCCTGGTGATCCCTTGGTCACAGGGAGGGTGAGCAGTGAGAAGTGGAGGCCTGCCCGCACCCCAACTTCTCTGGAGGCTTACTTCTCGCCCCCAGCCCCAGAACCCAGCCTGGCCCCTGGCAGTCTTTTCTGCCCAGGGCCCCAGCCAGTGCTTCCTGTCACAGGGATGGGATGGAGAAGGTGGGGTGGAATGATTCTTGGCCCTCGGAGTAAAGTTGGAAAGGAAAGGAACGGACTAACAAGAGGAGTGCAGGCTAGACGCGCAGCAGAACTTCCTCAGCACCGCCTGGCGGACTGTGGCTCTGTGTCCATAGGCTACAATACGGAAAAGGTCCCTTTGCGGTTTTCACAATAGGCTTGGGAAAACTGATTTTTCTTAATTCCCAGTCTCCTGAGGTTGAGGGTAGGGAGGCAGATTCCCGGTGCCTGCTACAGGGGAACAGGCGCCCCGCCAGAGGGCTGGGAAAAAGGTAGGGTCCCAGTCTCCTGGCCCACCACCTTCCCCCCTGCCTCTCGAAGAGTTACTCTGCCTCCGCGTCCTGCTGCCTTTGGGACGTGTAGCCAGTGTCCTAGGTCCCCCGGCTGCGGGCCGGCAGGGGAGGAGTTAACTCCGGAGGTACC